ACAGAAAAAATAAAAGACTAAACTATCATAAAATAAACTCACCATGATAAGCAAGGTCTGGGTATCCAAAGTCATTCTAGCAAATCATCAAGCATGAGGAGGGGTTCAGAAGAATATTCAATTTATGGCCAATCAGTCAGAGGCACAGGGGCCTGGTTTTTCCAATTGGTACTGAAAATGGGGCTGTCTTGTGAGACTGAGACTTTAGCTGGTGTGCCCATGTTATCTCTGGTGGTTAGGGTCAGAATGCATTGTAGACCGCATATTTGGTGGTTGAAGAGTTGGAGATCGGGTAGGTGCATGAAGCTCCTCCTCCTCCTCATTTGGTGTTAGCAGTATTGTGAATAATGATGGAGTCCAAGGACCATCATTCCAAATGTAGCACCTTGGTGTGTGATTATTTTCACATTAAAGAACTCAGAGAGAAGCAAAATCTGGAAGCAGCTTCCCTCTGATAGCTCCAATCTGCCTAAAGTCTGGACCTCAGGGAGAAAGCAGTTACCTCTGGTCTGTTTCTTGAGCATTCACTAGCTAAATCCATATCTCCAGAAGAGATAGTGAAGTCTATTTACACATATGCACATTTTTGTCAGCAGTATTCACTTCTATTTCTGTTCCATGAAGCATCATTTACAAGCCATTGTCCATTATGGCTTCCATACAGATTTTGTCCCAGGAAATTGTGTTCCAAACTCATTGATGTTCTCTTAAAATGATATATTATCCATTCCCCACTCCATGTTCCCCATTCTTCCCTTCTCCCATGGAAATAAGATATGTAAGCTTCTGAATAATTTTGTGTTCCTATTTAATCACAAATTGATTACCTTCTTTGCTGTGATTTCCCTTTTAGTAAATGCATATGCCTTTTCTTTCTTTGACTCTGTCAGATCATTCCAAGCAAGCTTGAGATGGTGGACTGGAACTATTTCTTCGCTCCTACAGTAATGATGGTTCACAGTGTAAGGTGGCTACTTAGAATCAAATAAAGAATACTGAGGACTTGATAAAATGTTTAAATAGTCCTAATTGAAAAAAAGATTACAAAAAATCAGATGATGAGGTAACATAAATGGAAAAGCAGATTATAAAGTGGATGTGGCTAGCAGAATATATATGGGATCGGGTAGGCAGAGGGCTTGGGAGGATGTAATTGCAGCAGGCACAGTATAGGGAAGAGACTTGAGGATTCAACCTGAAAATATGCTGCAGCCTGGGCCACAGCACTCAGGAAATAGACCTTCTTCTGAGCAAGTCATATCAGACTGTATTTGGCATAGTTGAGGCAAGGTATTGTTATGTAGGTGAAGCAAAGAGTCAATAAGAGAGACCTTTATCCTTCACATTCATAGCTTGTTGATCTGCAACAAGGATGCCGAGCCAGTTCAATGGAGCAAGAATAGCTACTTCAACCAATTGTTCTGGGATAATTAGAAAGCTGTGTGCAAAGGGATAAAGTTGAACCCTCCCTTTCTTATATCATATACAAAAATTAATACAAAACTAGTCATGGATTTCTTCTTTCTTCCTTCCTTTCTTGCTTTCTTTCTTTCCTTCTTTCTTTTTTTTTCTCCCTTCTTTCCTTCCTCCAACTCCCAGAGGAATGTGATCATTATGTACTACAAAGGTATGTTAATAAAAATTCTTAGAAAAAAGATTAAACTATCAAAAAAAAAACCCACCATGATAAACAAATTCTGGGCTCTGAGAGTCTTTGTAGCAAATCACCAAACCTCAAGAGGTGCTCAGAGAAATATTTAATTTATGGCTCATTAGTGGATCTTCCATTTGGTATAGAAATAAGGGCTGAGTACATGTCAGGCTACCTCCCAAGTAGTATCTTTGTTTCAGCTCTTTTCTTCAGCTGGAGGACACTGTCCTGGCCTGCCCAAGGCTGCTCCATTCTGTCATTCATGGCTAGATATTGTAGCAGACAGTACCCCTGCTATATTAGCTGTGTCACTTTGAGCATGTGGCTTTGCTTGTTACTCTGCACTAGCACAAGGTGTGATAAATATTACTAGTGAAAAGTGAGATAAAGGGATGGATGAAAATTCAATTTTATCTGTAGCATTAGGGCAAATTAGTATTCATATTTAATGACCTGAAGTGTATCTATACCACATGAGGGATGGGCTATACTTGAAGTTGAGCCATGCCTACTTGATGCTTTAGAATCTTCACAAGGAATTTTTGGTGTTTAAAGGAGAAAGACAGTATGGTGCTGGTGCATTTGGGTGCAACTGAATATCTTCTATGTAGAAAATTAAAATATGGTAAGCATGCTAGTGGAGACCTCTAATACCAGCTACTTTGGGACCTGAGGCAAAAAAATCACAAACTTAAAGCTATTCAGGGTAATTTAGTGAGACCCTGTCTCACAATAAAAGTTAAAACATGCAGAGTAAGTACAAGTTCTGGTTTTAATCATCAGTACAGCAAAAAAGAAGAAAGAACAAAAGAAAAGAAAGAAGAGAAAGAAAGAAAGAAAGAAAGAAAGAAAGAAAGAGAGAAGAAGGGAATAAAGTAGGAAAAAGAAAAGAAGGAAGGAATAAGGTTAGAGTGTAAGAGGGCCAGGCCTGTTTCTGTAGGGTCAGAACACTTTAATTTTTCAGGTGCTGCCTGGTCCCTCCTCCAACTCCACATACTCCACAGAGTAAGCTCTGTTTCCCTCAAGCCTATCATCTTGTTAGTGTCTTCATCTGTCTTTGGCCTGTCTAAAAACCTAGTGGTCCATAGTGAACTGAGGACAGACTTCCTTTTGTGAGCTAATCAGAAAGTCTGTCTCCTAACTTTCCCTGACTGATCTCCACATTAGAAAAACCTGGAGCCTGATATACTGTGTATCACAAACTGAGCCTGACCACATGGGTGTGTGTAAAGGTGGGTGGGGGGAATGAAGAGGTGTAGGGAGGGTGGGGAATGCATACTTGTACCCAATTTATGGTTCCTTTCTAAGCACACTGCCAGAGGCTCTGTCTTAATGTCTCCCTCTACACCCTGACTGTGAACTTCTGGCAGGCACTGTGTTGATCACTTTGTTTTTGTCCCACTTTATCTCAAGCACCTAGCCAGTAACACATGCTGAAATTCTAGTGAAATATCAATAAGGAAAGAGTATATTAAAATGTACAGTTTTAGGTAATTTAGAAATTAAGATAACTCAAATGTCTACCAATAATGGATTAATAAGACAAACTTCAATACACGTAAGCAAGTACTATGTACTCTTTAATTCCAGGCTGGCAATGAATTAGCATCTGAGATTTCTATGGCGTAACATTCAGTAAGAGAGTAGTTTTAAGGCAACCTGTGGAAGGAATGTCCCTATGTATTGGCATTGTGTAGACATTTTGTCCCGGGCTGTGGATAAGTCAGGGTGAAAAGGAGGTAGTCTGACCTTTCTTCCCTGCCACAGCCAACCGTAGGTCAGAGATGGAGCTTCTTTTAAGAGACAGATTATATTCTAGCAATTGCCCAAGGCTGAATTATATTGGTGTTAATTATATGATTTCAAGGCTTTAACTATAATGTTGCTTCTTGATAATACATATTGCAACAAGAAACATTTCCTCATCATAGCTTTTAACCCTTGGTTAATTAATTCCTTGGGCTATAGTCCCAGGAGAATGATGGCTGAATGAAAGGCATTTCAATCATATTCTTTGTTGCTCTATCTTGGCATTTGCCAAGTTCTTGCCATGTTTTAAAAATTCAAGCCATATTTCTAGTTTAGAAATTGAAAACTGTATCGATGAATCACTATTTTGTTGATTTTATTAATTTTTATTTGGGTAGAACACTTGAGAAGTTACTTTGATTTTGTTGATTTTGTTAATTTATATTTGGGTAGAACACTTGGGAAGTTATCTTGGTGCTGGGAAGTGAACTCTAGGCTTAGGGCACGTGCATCCTGTGCTGTGCTGTGCTACATCCTAGCACCTGCCCACTGTTTTGTCAAATCTGAAGTGATAGTTTTGTTTACTTGTCTTTGGCACCCCTTTTTGGGAAATTCACTCATTGGCCCACATAGCCCCTCCCAAGGGAGCTGTGATATGGGGGCAGGTTGAAGGGGTTGCCCAGAAAAGTCCTGTGCTGGAGTGAGTTGGAGAAAAAGAGTTCAACTGTTACTAGAGAGGACAGGAGGCATCTATGTCTGTTCCCTCCAGAAGACCAACCTGCAAGTCTAGTGCCCTTCAAAGTAATAATTTTCTCATTGCTTTGGATATTTCTTTAATCTCGAAGCTGGTTGCCACTTCTCTTTCCCTTCCCATCATCACACATCTTATTAAAAACCCTCTCCTTCCTTCTTTCCATGCATAGAGTGAGGTTGCTGCTCTAGCGTGGTGCACAGAGCCCTTCAGCCTTGTTTGCAAGGTACCTCTGGAGCCTCAAGTCCTCTAACTATTCTTGGTGCTCTCTGTGGATACCATCCCTGAGTGGGCCATGCTCTTTCAGCCCTTCATGCCTACAGGTCTTTGCTTATGTGGTTTTCTCTGCCTGGAGCACCTGGTCCCCTATTTCTCATTGCAACTCAAAACCACTCAAGTCCCAGCTCAATGATCACCACCCTGAAGAAGTCTTCCTCAACTCTCCAGTAGAAGTTGTCCTTGCTGGGTGCAAAAATTACCACTCAGCCAGAGTGTACAGTGTATGTTTGCACTGCCCAGCAGGGGGCCTGAGACACCGCAGGTACTCAAGAAATAATTGCTGAATGAATAAATGTGTGCATTCATGACTACTGAATTTGGAGATTCACAATCTGTCGTGGGGGACATAGAAAAAAGATGTGTCTAAGTGTGTGCTTGACCCCACCCAAGCCTTTAATCTGGAGGATGAGCTAGCTTGAGGCAGGGATGGATAATGAGCCCTTTTGTGACTCTTTGGATGCTTCATCCCTGAAAACAGCTGCATTAATCTTAGTGATGAGTTTTGTGATATCATCAGGAAGGCAGTCAAGGCTCAGTGGTGCTGCGTAGGAGTCTGTGGAGACAGTCAGGGTCTGGCTGTCATAACTGGAGGTACCAGGGATAAATCGGACACAGCTACCTCTGGTCTGAATTTGGGAATCTCCACAATCAAGTGGGAGCTGGACTGCGGATTCTGAGAGCCCTGCCAGACAGCAACAGGTCAGTGCTCCTTCAGCAGCATCCCAGGAAGCCAGATGGGCTGGGTTGGGTGTGTACATGTTCTAAAGAGCAGACATTGGCAGCTTACCTGTTGTAGAGAACATGTACAGCATTGATGGGGGTCTCAGCATCACAATTCTGGCCCAAAAGTGAGTTACAACCCCAACTGAAAAGCAAGATTTGGGACTTTTTCCTAAAGACTTGGGTTTTAGTCCAACTCTAGGTAGATCAGTTGTATGATCTTGAGAAATCCTTTACCTGAAGAGATTTCATTCTACCTCAGAAATATAGGGGCATTGGTGCCTCCCTTTTAAGGTCATGCTGAGGATTGAATGGGATCATGTATAGAACATGCTTCTCTGGGAGAGCTGGAAGCAGCAGTCTTTGTGATTCTGATCTTCACATGGTCTAGGAAAAACTGCACTCTGAAAAGAGTGGTTTATCTCCAACTCTGTAGGAAGAGAGGAGTGAGAGGAGCAGGAAGGTCCTATATCAAAACACCAGATGGGTGCTGTACTGTGTCTGTGGGAGGCTGCAAGATTCTAAGGCTCTTGTTGGTGCCTCACTGCTAAAGGGTTCACCTAGTGAGGCAATGGTGAGGTGAAGAGGGCACTGCATTTGTGAAGTTAGAAGGAAAACGCACCCTAAATGTAAGCCTGTTTCCTTGGTAGTATGATGATTTTAATGTCCCAGTAGTTTATTGTTGAGAAGGATTCTGACTTTTCAAGACTATAAAAATTTCCATGTTAAATAGCATAAACACTCTGTTGCTGTTGCTTTAGTGAGTTTCTCTTTACAGCTAACTCCTAAATTCAGGGTGAGCAGAAAGGGAAGAGGACACAGCTCCTGTGTCCAGGAGGCCCTCAGTCCCTGACACTCTGCAGGATAGCTTCTTGTAGAGCAATGAATATAAGTACCCTTCGCAAGGGAACAGATGGCACAGAGGAATGACACCTGAGACAAAGTACATGAATTTAGAACAGTAGGGCAGAAGACTCATCAAGAAAGCATCCATCCTGCTGTGGACTGGCCGTTTCTGACTGCTCCACTCCTGCATTCTCAGGTCTTCCTGCTGGGTTGAGCTGTCATGCCTAACACACTAGTGGAGGAATCCCTTTTCAGTATCATCCACTGCTACCACCAGTATGCAGCCCGTGGAGGGGATGTGGAGACCTTGTCCCTGGAGGAGCTGAAGGCCCTACTTATGGACAATGTGCCGCACTTCATGGACACCTTGGTATGCTGGGTGTGAGACCACAGTGTGGGTGAATAGGGGAGCAGGGCACCTGTACAAGATTGGTTATGGGATGGGAAATGAGTTTCGGATGTGAGTGATGAATGTTAATAGAAGGATCTGATTCCTATGCAAAATCTCCAGCCTAGGGGAGGGAGGAGTACAGGATTTCCCCAGATTGATTTCTTCTCCCCTCCCTTGAAACTTTTTGTCCCACTCCAGCCACACCATAGCTCATCCCTAAAACTCTGCCCCATCATCCACCTGTTTATTCCCTGTGCTTCCTGCCTACTATTCTGTTCCTCCATTCTGCTCAGGGTGCATTCAGTCTATGGCTCTGCCTCAAACCCTAGGCACCTTTCTGAGGCCTCTGAGATTCATCCCTTTCTTCTGCTCCTCTGTCACAGAACTAGGGGAATGTATTTTAGGCTGCTGTAGGCCAGGCAAAATTAACCTCTGCTTCTACTACCTGTTCCTAAAGTCTTTTATACCTTGAGGCAACAATATTTTCACCCCTCCAGGACTGACATCTTCTCAACCATCAGTACAGCCCATGATCAGCAGGCTCCTTAGGAATGGCAAACTCACAGGACTGTCTGTGGGTGCTGACTTCTGCCCTCTATTCCATACCTCATGGTCTCTGGACTGTCATCTCAAAAGCATTTCTATTCCAGAAAGCCATTCTTTTGGCACTTCTCATCTCTACCACTTGATTTTGGGGGAGATAACAGGATCAGTGTTGCTTGTGTTTACCTGAGGTGCCACTGAAGGATCAGAGGAATAGCCAGGGCTGGAGGTTACTGTGGTTAGGCCTGGTACCAGGAAACCCTTTCGCTCCTAAGGGAGGTTCATGGGCTGGGCCTGTACTACCCCAGCCCAGTACCTGTGGAGATCACAGTCCCAACTCAGGTCAGAATCCTTAGGGACAGACACCTGGACACACAGGTAGGAAACCTTGTGAAGTTGGCCCAAGGTGAGGGAAGCTAGGCAGAGCGTGCTCAAGACAAGATGCCTCCAGCTCTTCTCTGGTCAGTCAGCTTTGTGGAGGCAACTGGATTATAAGAGCCGCACAAAGAGATATGCAGTGAGGGGAGAAGCTGTGAATCTCCTGAAGAGATGATGAGCTGTCCTTCTGGTCCCCAGATACTTTCAGATGCAGCAACTCCTTCCCTGAAGTGCTTCTCATGGGGCTGAGCATGGCCATGCCCACTAACCAGACCCTGCTAAACCTCAGTTCACTTCCACTACGTGGCATCTTCCTTTACTTACCTGGTCTTCACCTGTCCTATATCCTGGCGGGGTTGAACCATGACTTTCTCCATGCTATGCTATCCTTCTACCTCAAATTTCTCTTTCCTATACCATTTCCATCTTCAGCCTCAGAGATAGATTAGGGCCAGGACATCTTGGATGACTCCAGAGCTCCTTGTTTTGTCCTTTCTCTCATTGTGCACTCTGTGTAGGTAGAGTGTCATAAACAATGCCTACGTGTATGCCACAGCACACAAATATCTGACCACGATGGTGCTGACCTTGTTGTGCTGGAAACACAGACATGAGGGGCAAGTAGAGCCTGTCTTTGGAGAGCTCCTAGTGTTAGGATTGTGGATGGCTCCCTGTTTTTAGGAGGCTAGTAGCGGTCCTTCTAGGCTGTACAGCTAAGGAGCAAATTTTCCACAGTCACTGACCATGGCCAGGAGGTGTATGTGGAAATGCTAGGCCCCTTAGCACTGCTGAGGATCTATACAGTTAGCCTATGATCTGGGCTGTGTACATGACCTGTCTGCCCTTATGCTACTCTGTTTCACTGACCTGAGACACCTACACCTCAGCCTCTTTTGCCTGGTTTTGCAGCATGTATGTACTGGCTATTTGAGTGAGGAATTCTTTCCCAGTGCTGTTCTTACCTCTTCCATCACAACAGTGGGTGAAGGCTTGGTGGGTGGTCTGAATGCTTGGGTGGGTGGATCACTGTACTCCTCTCCTCAGGGCCGGAAGGAGCCATACTACATTGCAGAACTGTTCCGGACAGCAGACAAGAACAAGGACAATCAGATCTGCTTTGATGAGTTCCTCTACATCTTGGGCAAGCTGGTGAAAGACTATCACCTGCGGTACCACCGGCAGTTGTGTGCCCATTACTCTGCCCAGCACAACCTCTACTAGAGGGAGGGCAATTGGAGCCTGTCCTGAGGAAAGGTGTGACCTGGCCACAAGTGGCCAAGTGGAGAACTCTGCTGCATGTCTACATGTGGATATGTAGACATGGATATACCTGTGCAAAGTCTTTTATATGTATTTATGGGTTATTAGTCAGCTTAGTAGAGACTACCCTGGAGAACATCTATTTCCAGGAAGACTCAGTTCTGGCCTTCCACTTTCACTCTGTAAGGAGGAGGTCTTGTCTTGGGCAGATGACTCTCTGATAAGGAAACCAGGCCTCACCATACTGTCACTGGTCGTTTATCCCCTGCACACAGCATAGGAATAGAGGCTCACAGGCAGGACTGGACTGTAAATGGACCCCAATTTTGAAGACATCCTGCTCTGAAGCAAGCTTCGGTGAACTCATACCCCAAGGGGAACCGGCCTGGGCCTGGGAAGGGCAAGAAGGGTGGGAGGATGCATTTCTAAATGGGGAAACACAGTGGGGGACCAGTGTGCTATGCCCAGGACCAATAAAATCTTTGCTTGGAAATTAGTGTCCAAGGAGAATGTATGAACTCAATGTGAATGCATGGGTCAAGATCAGACTCTGGAAGTCCTTAAAAACTGAGCAGTGGGCTTTAGATAATGAGACACTGAGCAGTTGTATAAGCAGGGAGTGGGACTATGGTATGACTAGCTCTGTGCTTTTAGAAACCAACTAGGTGCCAAAGCATCAGAACAAACAGGGACAAGCTGGGCCCATTGGGTGGCTCTTGTGTGGCCTGTCTACAGGACCCTGAGGACCAGCTCAACAGCTGCATGAAGTGACAGAAGGGAGGCAGCTGACATTAGAGACATGAGAATATCAGTGTCAGACTTTGGCCACCAACTGAGCAGGAAAGGATCCAAATGAATTCAGTTTCAGGTGTTCATAACTGAGGGAAAGATGATGTGAGTTATGGGCATCACAGGTGTCCAGGCCATCACAGGTGTCCAGGCCAGGAGCCACCATACCAGGAAGACTGAAGGTCAAGTTTTACGCCTTCTGAGTTGGAGAAGGAAATGAGACCAGAGGCAACAAACCAGAACTGTTCATGCCTGTCATGGGTGAGCCATAAAGAAAACTTGAGAGACTGTCAACAAGGAAGGCTTCCTGAAGGAGGGAGGTGGTGGGTCTGGTTTTTACTAATAAAACATGATGATGAATGTGGCCTGTGCCTCTGACTCTTAGTTGTTCATGACTCAGTGGTCCAGATCCTATTGTCCCTGACCTCTCTCACCTGGGACTTGTCCCTGCCTTATCTCCTTTCTGAGAATGGGTCTGGGAACTGATATTCTAAACTGTGCTTATTTCTAAACAATGGGTTTTAAAAGAATGACAGTTGATCACTGCAATGCTTACCTCTAGAAACATTTTTTTTCTTCTACTGGTTATTGAAACTATCCTCAAAGTAATAAGAACTATGGGTGTAATAAAACCCAAAGGGTGTAAATGTTGTTGTAAAAAAGAAAGGAAAAAAAGTGCTCTAAAAGATACAACTGCAAGTGTGTTTAGGTGTGTTAAGATAGATGACCATATTACTAAGTTTTTGTTGGATCATTGAACACAATTGTTTGCAGTCTCACTGTTTGAATGTCCATTTTGTATGCTTTAATCCTGTAACTTGAACAACTATTTCTAAGATGATAATGTGTACTCTATTAACTAGTGATTTCTTACTGTTTTTTTTTTTTTTTTTTGAAGTTCTGTATTACTTATACCCTTATACTGTTTTGGGTTTTTTCTCCTTTAAATAAAATAAAAATTAAAAAGAAACTATCCCCAACCCTATTTATTTGTTTATTATTTATTATTTATTTTGTATTTTGACATGTGGTCTCATTAAGTAACAAGTTGTGCAGGCTAGGCTTGAACTTCCTGTCCTCCTGCCTCAGCCCCTTGGACAGCTAAGATTATAGACTTGACCACCAGGTCAAGGTATTGAAGAGACTTTTGTGTGTGTTTCCCTCTGGTCCGACTCACACAGAGGAGCATATTAAGCTGCACTCCAGTTATGTTTCAATCTATGCCCACACTTAGCCAGATGTGGCACCTGACCCAGAATCCATGCAGTGGGAGCTCAAGGAAAGGATGCAGGAAAGGGACCTGTGAATTGGAATGGTGTAATGAATTTGTGCTCCTCCCACAGAGTCCCTCAGTCATGGGTATAGGAGCCTGATTATTGAGGTCACTCTTCCTGGAGGTCCAGGGGAGAGTCCTTCCTGCCAGTTTCAACTGAGGACCTTGGGCTCCACAGGACTCACCAGGTCACCCTGTCTGAGTCTTCTGTGCCTCCCCACAGGCTCTTACTAGGGATTTCTCCACCAGTTCTGCCTGATCTGTTGTCATTTCCTCAGCCTGGGCTGTTGGGACACACATAGGGGACTGGCCCTTTCCTGTAAACATGGCCAGGCTCCACTCCCCGTAGGTTACCCCACACTGTTCAGGTCGATTCTGCCATTTCCTTGATGTGTGTTCCCAGTTCTTACCATTCATTTCTTTTAGCTAAGCTTATCCTGACTCCTGTTTTCTCTAAAGCCCCCAGAGTTGTCTGTCCGTGGGGAGGGTAATTAAGGTGACCTAGTGACAGGCCATGGTCTCCCTTGTCAGCTTGTACATGGTGCTGGCTAAAGAACATTCTTCATGACTGCCTTTATTATCACCCATTGAACCCAAGGAAACACTAGTGCTTAGTCTGTCAACTAAGAATAATTGTAACTGCAATACCCATTTTATAAAGTTACTGGGAGTAACAAATAAATCAGTAGGTGTAAGCACACTTTGAAAATGTGATGTGCTGCATTAGGATAGGGTGATGTCTACTAAATCAAATAAAATAGTGCCTGATGAATAAGTTATGAACTGTGGACTAATTATTGGTTGAAAGTTAGTCATGTTATATGTTGTAAAGGGGCTTGTTTTCCTATCTAAAGGTCAAGTCATCTGTTGTTGAAGAAGTTTGACTGCATTTAATTGCTGACTTTATATTTTACTTTTTTTAACAATGACTTAAGGTGGCTGAATATAACATAGAGAATTTCAGCGTTAGAAAAAGAAACAAGCAAAAATTCAGTTTTGCCTTATTTATTCCCTCAAAGGTCCTAGGCATGTTTAGAAATCGATGCAACTCCTCTTTCAAAAAGACTCCTGGTCCCCAAGAAAAGACAGATAATAAATAAGTGAATCATAATTTAGCAGAGCTGATGTGATGGATGAAGAGAGAAGAATTAACCTGTGGAGATGGGGTGGAAGAAAGAAAATCAAAAGATTGTCTTGAAGCAGATGATGCCTAAATTGATCAGGATAGGTAAGGAGTATGTTACTCAGATGAAGAAGCATTCCACGTGGGAACAGGAAATAAATACTATCACATCACATGGTAAATCACTTAAATCTGAATGAGATGGATATTTGTGTCTCCCCATGGGCCTTGTTTCCTCATCTGTACAATGAGAATTGAATAGTACCTACCCCATAGGATTATTGTGAGAGTTAATTGAATTGATGCAAGTAAAGCATATAGATTAATTCCTAGCACATGACGTATGTCCAGCGAGTATTAGCTGTTATTTGACTATTGTCTGTACTTATTATGGATTGTACTTGCAGTTCTGTGTATACTGGACACTGTGCTGTGTTCAGGAATGGTGAGGTGAGACAGTCTGGCCCTGGAGAGTATGTAGGGAAGCTAGAGAATAAGGCTAGAGATGGAGCAGTCATTGTGGCTTCTGTGGCACTGCACTTTATACAAAAATTAAAATGTAATGCACATTTAGAAAAGTGAACAAATTATATTTTATATCAATTATCAGTCTTCACAAGTTAGACATTTTAAGTTGGAAGCACTTAGGACATTTTTTAATTGTAGTTGTGCTAAAATACTTATAACATCAGATTTATTGTCTTCACTATTTTAAGTGGAAAATTCTGCACTATCACATAGTTGTACAGTCGACCTCAGAACTGTTTTCATCTTACAAAATTGAAACTGTAGAGACTAGGTATGTATCAGGATAGTAGAAAACACTTACCTAGAATGGTCTGGGTTCAATCCCCAGCACCAGAACAAGCAAACAAAGAGACAAACAAACAAGCACATCATAGAAACTCTATTCTCATTAAAGAATGACTATACATTTCACTCCTCTCAGGTCCTAGCAAGGACCATTCTACTTTCTATTTCCATGAACCTAACTATTCTGGGCACCTTATATTGAGTGGAATCATACAGTATTTTTTGTGACTCTTTTACTTCACTCACAATAAGGTTCTCAAGTTCATCAATTTGTAGCACATGTCAGAACTTCCTCCCTCTTAAAAACTGAATAACATTACATTGTGAGCATATATTACTTTTTATTCATCCATTCGTCTTTTGACAGACACTTGGATTGTTTTCACCTTTTGGCTATTGTGAATAATGCTGCTATGATCATGGGTGTCCAAGTGTCTTGAGATATTGTTTTCAATTCTTTTGATTATTCTGTTTATTTTTTATTTATTTATTTTTAATATTTGGTACCAGGGATTGAATTCATAACCTTCTGCTTGCCAGGCAGGCACTTCCCTGTTTATTTTAATTTGTTTTGTTTAATTTAATTTTTTTATTCTGTTTATTTTAAAGGAACTATTACACTACTTTTCATAACAGTCATACCCTATTTTTCATTCCCATCAATAATTATGTCTTCTAATTTCTCTAAATCTTTGCCAAAACTTATTATTTTCTAAGTTTTTAGACAACAGCCTATCTTGACAAATGAGAGATACTATCTCATTATGGATTTCATTTGAATTTTCCTAATGATTAGTGATGTTGAGAATCTTTTTATGTGCTTGCTGGCCACTTTTATATTTTCTTTGGTGACATGTCTAATTCTTTGGCCATTTTTGCTGATTGATTTTTTGATGTTTTTGCTGTTTTTGTTATTATTGTTGAGTTCTCAGAGTTCTTTTGTATTCCAGATATTAACCCCTTATCAAATACATGATTTACCAATATTTTCCCCATTCCTTGAGTAGAAGGTATATTTCCCATTCCACAGATTGAAAGTATTTTAAATCTCCTTTTAATATCTGATATAAGGAATCTTCCCTAAGGATAAGGTAGAGTAAATAATTGGTCCAACGTCACAATGCTATAAGAGATATAAGAAAATTCACAGTGCTATATAATCCTGGAAGAGCAAGGCTAATCCATACACTTCCACAAGAAGGCGTTAATGGCCTAGCTGCTGGCTAAGCATATGGGCAATATTTGTTGCTTGTATAAAGGAAGGAAAAAGGAAAGGTGTTTTCCCCAAGTCACATTCTTGTCAGATCATGTTGTGGAGTCAGATTCTTGGGGATTCACTCCAGACTCCAACATACCAGCAGGGGAAAATGAGGTGAATAACTTTGCATGCTTGGGCCTCAGCTTCCTTATCTGTGGACAGAGGAATTTCCATGCCCTATTTTTCTAGTAGGCATATTGTGAGGCTCTTATGAGATTATATGGATGTGAAATACATTGTTATATGAGAAATACTCCACCAAGCCAAAATTTTGAAAGCCAGTTAAACTGAATGATATCTTGTTAGCGGGGAAGGTTTGGTCCCCTTGAAACCCTGGGGAACTTGCCACTCTCTCTTCTCCTTTTATACATGAAATATGCCTGCCTTCTCTAAAAAAGTGTGCCCCAAATGTTCCTCTTTTTAGCCCACACTGCTGGTGGTCTGAGACCCCATAGAGGGGTGAAGAGTCTCTCTGTGTCCTTGTAATGGCTGAGTGCCTTACATGGTGCATAAGGACCTCAAGCTACCCTTTGTTTTCCAAGGCAGTGAACCCCTCCTCCTTGCTTCAAGAGCACAATTGTTTTGAGCCATTTTGGGAGATACAGTAGGAACTGACCAAGACCTTAGTAATACAGGGTCCAAGCACCCACCCAAAATTCAGCACCCCTAGTAACACTAATGTTCTTCACTTTTTTGAGGTTGTTGACTCTTGAGAATTTGATGAAAGCCATGGAAGAAGGTTCTGTGCACACACTCAAAATGATGCATTCTGTTTAAATTCAATTTAAATAATGTGTCAAATGGCCACAAAAACAAGAGATTAGCATAATATTCTGGGTAGAACACGGAGGGGGTTCCTAGGAACCCCCCCCATCCCCGGAGAAAGAGGACTTGCCATAGTCACCTTGTTTCATCAAGGTCTTCCACTTCCTTTAGCCCTGCCTCTCTGAAACATTCATTCTGTGCAGTGATTGCCACATCCACTTGGTTGGGAAACAGCGAGTATAGCAACTCTACAAGACCTGAGGCTATAGACCAGCCCAACCTACCCGCTATAAAAAGGAGCTTACAGTCAGGCTTGTATGTTCCTTGTCAATTCTGTTTTGGGCAGAGCTGGTAAGTGAGACCCTCCAGATCTGCCCCATACTTTGGGCTTCCTTTTGGGGGGGTGGGGTGGAGTAGCCTCCTCTGTGAGAGGGAAGAAAAGGTCTGGGGGTCCCTGGAGGATGAGAGCAAGGCAGGGATAAGAGATGAGTGGAGTTTCCTAGCACTGTTCAGTGGGCAAAGACATTGTCACTTGCCAGTCTGGGCCTTTCTTGGGCAGAGAGAATGGCCATGGGGAGAGTTAGGGACACTGTATATGTGTGTTTTGCACTATCTCCTACTTATGCATTTATAGTACCTGTTAAAGATGCGCAACTGTCTGTTGTAGTGGATATTTGGGTGGAACAGGGATGGTCAAATCCATTACTTGGGGTCTGAGTCCTGTGTGTGGTAGGGCTCAATCTACCATAAGAAAAACCTACTGTGCCCAACTCAGGATACTCTATGTGGTTCATTTTCAGGTGAACAAACCCTTGTGCACCATGCTGACTGAACTGGAGAAAGCCCTCGACACTATTATTGATATCTACCACAAGTACTCCCTGATAAAAGGGAATCCCCATGCCCTCTACAAGGATGACCTGAAGAAACTGCTAACTAATGAGTGTCCTCAGTACACAAAGGTGAGGAAGGGTTGGATGTGGATGGAGTTCTCTACTTGCTTTGATAACTCCCAGGACATTGGTCTTCTGTGTTGTCCTCGGTAGGCAGCCATACCTCAACTTTCTTTGAGATCTTTAAGCTCGAGCTTTCTCCCCTTTTACTCTTCACAGAAAAGGAATGCAGATGCCTGGTTCAGACAGTTGGATATCAATGAAGATGGTGCAGTTAACTTTCAGGAGTTCCTTGTTTTTGTGGTAAAAGTGGCCCTGAAAGCCCATGAAGAGAGCCACAAACACTAGTAGAGCTCCTGGGCCCATGCAATTGTTCCTGCAAAATAATAAAATTATCAATACCTCAAGCCTTTCTTACTCTCTTGTGTTTTTTTGAGGTTGTTTTGTTTCTGCCTTTGTGGAATGAGGTTCCTGGGCTGAAATGGGCTTGGAAAACTCCTTTGGAGGAAGAATAAACCTGTGTTATCCTCACTTGCACCACTTGTAAGCCTTCAGTCCTTCACTGCATGGTCCCTAAACCTCTGAGCCTCTTCCAACGTCATGGTCTTGAGTCATTTGTTCTAAGATTTAAGGATTTAAAAAGAGCCTAGGACTACTGATATTATTTATTGGTTCCCAAATGTGTGATGTGGGGATCATTTGGGGTAATGTTAGAAAAAAATCAGTTCCATTCTGTAAGCTAAATTTTGGTTTCCAGCTAAAAGTTTTGGATACAGCTTTTGGGAAATTAGAAAGGTAACTACACAGGCATGAAGAGTTTGCTGGGGGAAGAGCACAGAGAGAGACAGAGACAGAGCCAAACAGGCAGATTTTCTGTATGGTATGACAGTATGTGGGTAATATTTAGACTCTTACTTAGGCAAACTAATAGTACAGTTGATGGAGGAAAGGGGTCCAGGTTCTTGTGTATGACAATGAAAGAACTGCCAACCATACACCTTGTAATAAGTATGTAGTTATCTTTATTAAAGATCACAAGGCAGCAGCAAGAACAGACAGAAGGGAAAAGTGGGCAAAAAAGCCTTCGTAACTCAGGCTTACAGTATTTATAGGGCCAGACATCCATTCATTCTAGACACCTTGGCCTTTTTTCCTGAGGTCAGCAATCTGTGTGACCTCCCAAATTTAAATCTGAATAATCAGTAGGGTGGCCTTGCGTTTACAGTTGAATGGATTGAAAGAAGGTGACTCATATAACTTCCTGGTATGGGATTATAAAAGCATGGATAACCGGATAACCGTTAGGGGTGGTGTAATGTTTAGAGTTGAACAATGGGAAGGGAGTGACTTTGTGTCTAATGTACTATTGGAACAGTCCTCTCCCCCTTCTGCAATTTGACCTTAAGGATTTTGGAAGCTTCTTTCTCTTACAGCTTCTAACTTCCAACTGGATTAAGTGACACAAGAATGGGAAGGGAGGCCAAAATGCATTAATAAAACTCTGCTCAAAAATAGCTTATTCAAATGTTTCCCTGTGGGATTCTATGCTCTAGTGATGTATGAATTATTAAAGTAACTTCCTAGTCATTATATGTGTGGATTTATACAATGACCTGGTAAAATGGTAAAATCCAACATAAATGGATACCTTTCAACAGAGCCAAATTCCTAGAATAGATTTCCAAACTGGTCTGGGAAGTGTGCTATTGTCTTCCTTTAGACACAGATCAATGGTGTAAGTACAAGAGATAAGGAGCTATCACCAGAATCACTAAATCATGTCCCTTAACTTGGCCAGTGAAAATGGCCATCATTGAGAAATTAAAGCCAGAAAGGCTGTGGGGAAAAGAAACCTTTCCACATTGTTGGTGGGAATGTCAGCTAGTAAAACTATTATGGAAATCTATGTGGAGATTCCTCAAAAATTGAAACTAGAAATTGCATTTGATCCAATTATTAACTTTCTAAGTATCTTCCTAAAGAAGTTAAAGACAACATATTATATGATATATAACACATGTACACATGTTTATAGCTGCATAATTCATAATATTTAAATCTTGGAAGCAGCCTATAAGTACATCACAGATGAATGAATAAAGAAAATGTGATATTTACACACAATGGATACAACTCTGCCATAAAGAATAAACTTGAGTCATTTGTAAATGCATGCATAAATAGATGCACCTGAGACCATAATATTACATAAAGTAAATCAGACCCACAAGCTTAAATACTACATGGCCTCTTTGATTTGAGAAACCCAAAAATCTGAGTAAAGAGCATGATAAAAGATAGATGATAGGAAACTGGGAGACAGAGATCTTTTGCAAATGAGAAGGGGATCAAGAGAGGGAAGAAGGAGGTAGGGTTGATGAAAAAATAATAAAGATACTTATGTACATTTACCAACTCCTCATGATGATTGCAGTCATTATGTACTGCAAGCATGTACTAACAGGGCTGGGGATAGCGCAGGAACATAGTGCTTGCCTGGTAAGCATGAGGTTGTGACTTCAATTCCTGACAAAACACACACACGCACACACTCACCCCAAACAAAAAGCCACCACCAAAAAAAAAGTATACTAACAACAAAAAAATTTAAAACTTAAAAACATGGCTATATACATTAGTGTAATTGAATTGAAGCTGAATGTAGCATTTTGAGCCTGGGCATTGAAGGTCATTCTTTCATGACTTTCTCAAAAACGTTAACAACATTGGTCTTTACTAAAGACTTTTCAGCGGTGAAAGGTGGAATATTGCTAAGGATGTTGTATTTTGAGCAGGTGATTGAACTCTGTAATTACCTGTTGCCAAGGGCTAGATCAATTTCTATGCTGCAAGTACAGTCCTCAGAACCACTGTGCTCTGAGAGCACTGGGAGTCCTGTGCCCTGGAAGACAAAGGCTGGCTTGAAGTCATCCTGCACTACACAAAGCACCCAGGCATTATGTGGATACGGCAGGGACTCTTCAATCCTCTATGAAGGTTGAACCCTTTGTGCCTTAGATCCTGGAGCCTGGGATGAAGAAAGGAATCCAATTCTGGTACGCTGAAGGCACAGTTCTTTAGAGAAACCAGGCATGCTTCATGTACAAGAGAATAAGTGACCAGTTCCCCAGGATTTCAGGAGGAGCAACCCCTCCCCACCATTAACAAAACACCAGTAGGCTTAACTGGCTTCCAACAAGATGATTCACTGGGCTTTTTGTTGGTACTAGAATTTAACTATGTTAAAATGCAAATATGTGATGTAATATAATTCAGCAACATGTGCTCTTATTCCCTAAAGCTTCAGCCAATTTTAGTATCAACAACATATTAGTAAAAATGGTTGACATTAAGCTAAGTGTTAAGATTAGGACCTAAACTGATTATGTGAGCTTGGTTACAAAGGGCCCAGAGACTAAATTGTTTCTTTCTCAGCTCTGCTGAAGTACATCTTCATCAATCCCTCAAAGCTAAGGTTCCCACCTAAGTCAGAAGCATGAACCATACGCTGCATAACAAGGATTACACAGTTCTCTGAAGCATCATATTAGTCTTGCTATTTTCTATAATACATAGTCCAAGATGGGAAGCATTCCAGGTTCATCAGCCCACATTCTACATCTCACTCAGCAATGAGGGGTAGTAATGGGAAGACTACTCCAGAACATTCCTACACTGGGGTAGTGGTGGTGGTGATGATGATGGTAAGGGTGTGTGTATTTTCCAGGGTTAGGTTAAGAGGCAACATTTCTCAGTGTCTTTGATTCCTCTTAAAATCCACTGCTGGACTTGTTGGCAGATCATCTGGGGGAGATTTATTATAGTGCTTTCCTCTGCAGTAGTACAATGGTACTAGTTAAAAGTACAATGAGTTTGCTTTCTCTGAGCCCACCCAGAGTGTCCTGTGCAGTTTCTCCATAAGCGATGTGATTCTAGAATGAAGAATTGGATCCACACTGAACCATTAACAGTTTATTCCTGAACTCATGCTTAGATGGGGAGGTAGCCAGCTGGTCTGACAGTGTGGGTTAAGAGGAGGAGGTGAGTGACACAGTTCTTAAAAACTTCAAGAGGAGGCTTGAAGAAGGTAATTTACAAATACAGCTGTGCCCATTACTGGAAACACTGGGCAGATTCAGTAAGGTGGTATTGTTTCCTGTTTCCCCAGCTACAAAAGAAGAACAAGGTAGTGCAAAGTTGGGAAACAAGTAGTTTGACAGGAAACGTCATGTAACATTTGAACCCACAAAGGAGATCTTGGCCCAGCAATTGAGGCAGATCCGGCCACTGAGATTTCCAGGGTCCCTAAAGATGACCTTCACTGAAATCTTGTTTCTCCATTTACTTCTTCACCCAAGGCTCTCAACTTCAGCTGAGTTCCTAGTAAACATTACAAAACCCCAAGAGGACACAGAGAGGATCTAGTGCTAGAGAATTAATCTCCATCATCTGAGCAAAAGAGCTTATTTCAACAAAACATTTTGCCTGTATGTCCCGTTGTCAGAAAGCCAGCTACTCAGATCCCAGTCCTAACTCTAATCCTACTCCTTCTTACTGGGGGAACTGAGTCTACATTAAAATAGGCTGATGAATGAATATGGAAGAGAGCTCCTGTTCTTATTAGACTCCAGCTCTCGCTAGGAAGAATGCAGAAAAAAGCTTTAAACTTTGAAAAACACGAAATATTGATTGCTTCTGTTTTCATCTCATACCAGTATTGGTGTGGATAAATGTACTTCTTGCTACTTGTCAACACCTGACACTTGAGAAAAGTAGTTGGCAAAGTATGTTCAACTAACAACCATGGTAGATTAACTAATGGTCAAATTGTAATAGCCAGTTGAACTGAATCAGTGTGGTTCTGGGTGTGGAAGGCCCACCTGCAGATTGCTGACAATAGTATAAAAGGAGAACTGGAGGGGAAGATGATGTGCTCTTGATCTTCCTGGAGAAGCTTGTCTCACTGGTTTTCCTCATATGAACTTAGCCTTTGTCATCAGAGGAGCTCAGGTCCTTGCTGTCATAGGATGTGTGCAGTTCTCCAGGGGAACTCTGGTCCTTACCTTGAGTGTCACTTCCTAGCTCCAGTGTAGATTTCTCAGTCTGGTGGTTCAGATACTTCATCTCACTGTGGAGACTTTCTAGCTTCCACCACTGACCTTTGGGCCTACCCAGTGCAGACTCACATGAGACATTGTTGTGGATTGTAGACCTTCAGCTGGAATCTTTGGGTCTCCAGTGCATGGACAGATCTCCTGTACTTTTCTGCACTTACTTTTTCAATAAATATTTTAAAATAATTCTGTAAATTATTTTCCCTGTATTAAATCTATTCCCTGTCAAACACTGACTACAACAACTCAAATAGACATGAGGGAGATGGATTATATCTGCTTTATATTGTAAT